CCTTATCCAAAAATTATTACTTAGCTAATTAAAAGATTTCATTTTAGCTGCCTTTTCCTCAGATTTTCAAATCAAAAACCAACAACTATTAGTAATAAAGTTTCAAAGACAAAATATGTTCTTTCTGTTAACATTAAAAATGTTTTTCCTATTAAGATTTTAGGACTATAGATATTAAGCTTTTCATCAGTGGCACATTCTGAAAGGCCTCTTCTGGCAGTGACTTGCAAACTGCATCCCGCTACATAGGCTACCCCTTAATAGAGTATAAAAAGTCGCCGTAGTTTAGGGCGAAAATCAAACAGCCATTGAGTGGTGGGACAGATCTGTCTGTGCCGTTTGATAAGCGCTAATGAATGGTTTTCTTATACGCTCCATTGGGCCGAAGCCGAAGCCGTAGCTGTAGCCCCGTGGCAGCGTGGCCATGGTGAAGAAAATCCGGGAAGGGTGGCGGCGTCCAATAGCTCGATGAAGTGGGGTGATAGGGAGAAGGGGAGGTGGGGGAAAATCGCTGGACATGGCCACTTGTCGCGGTTTTGGGCAATTTAAGCGGCGGTTGCCGTTGTCATTGTCACGACGTCGAATGCGGTTGCCACTGACGCAAATGTTTGGCTTTGAGGCAATTAACGAGGCCAGAAAACGAGGGGTGGACGAAAAAAAAAAGCGCAGCAGAGAACAAAAGTGAGGCGGTTCGATGCATTTTCTTTCCGTTTTTTCTCTGCTGGTGCTCTATTTTCCGGCTTGTAATAAAATGGCAAACGTATGCCCGGGCAATCAATAAGCCCCACCGCCCCCCAAAAAGCATGCTATGGGTTTTTTAAGAGCTCACCGCAAAAAACCACAACGTTGCAAGGACATGCTGCAAAAAGGAGCCGACGAGCAGAGGAGGCCGGTCGACCAACAAGCGACTTAATACTGGCCAACTTGATGAAGATACAAGACAGATGGATAACGGCAGGTGAGCCAGGCATACAAATAAGAAAATTTTCCCTCCTTTCTCCGAGAAATTGGGGCCAACTCCCCGGCCAGGAGAACTGCAAAAGGACAAAACTTTTAAACAAGATTCGGCACTCGATACAGACACACACACATACACTCACAATGGCCAAACAGACTCGGACTCAGCCTCTTTTATGCTTGGCCATAGTCCAATACAAATCGTTACCAATTTTCAGTCGGATACGGGGGGCGTGGTCGGTGGCAGGCCATAAGCAATGGTCAACTATATGGACAAACAGGAGGCGCACACCTTTCATTTATTGTTCATGTCCGCTCTCCTTCTCACTCGCCTTGTTCCTTTCTGGGGACTGGTGGCGTATACGTAACGTGGGGCATTCTCATATCGAAACGCGTACATTGGAAGAAATATTACACTCCTCTCTATCATATCATCATATCAAAGGTTCTGTAAAGATCTTAGTAAGATGAAAAATCTAAGATTTTCCAACAATAAAGTTGATTTGAATCTAACTTTCAGTTTCTACCTTATTGTTTTCAGTGTATGATTGCAAATTGCAGGTGACTGAGGTGGTGGTGCTGGTGGAGTGGCTCAGTTGGTGGTGCATCGGCTTTATGTTGTGTATATGTCTGGCCGGGGTCTTTACGTTGGCTTGATTGGATTTGCCGATGCAAATGAAGAATCCAATTTTTAAAGTTTGTTTTTCGTTATCGTTACGTCTCTTGTTAGTGGTGGAAAACCTCCGACTGGTGTCTCCGCTTTCTCCTTTCCGGTTTGCCGGTTTCTCATGCAGCTCACGACACAGCCTCTTGGACACTCTCCTTCTCTTTACTGCCGGACATTTTTTATGCTCGTCGACCACGTTTGTTTTATACGTTTCGGGATACAATTCTTTTTTTTTTTTTGTTGGCCTTTTTATACTCCTCAGCTTGTCTCGTTTTGTTGGCCACATCAGCACACAGGACTCGGCCTGACACAAAGCGTCAGGAGGAACAGCCAACAATAACCAGGGACAATTCAAACAAACCGACAAGGGAGGCACCAAAAATTTGTTTGCAAAAAAAAGCTCACACGGAAAACTAAAAAACAGAAAAATATAAAAAAAAAACTCTAGGGGATGGGGAACAAAAAAAAATTTGAAAAAGAAAAGTTTTTGCTTTTTGGTTTGGCACGCCATTTGTTTGTGTCCCGATGCCTTTTGCCTTACCACAAAATCGAATTTTCACTTTTAAACAATTGACGTTACCACATACGGATACACCTGCATGTGTGTGTGCCACTGGAAGGTGGAGTTTTTTCCCCAACTTTTCCTATTGGTTTATTTTCCTTTTTCTCATTTCATGCCTTTCAATTTGTTGTTTACTCTTTGTTTTTGCTACGGTCAGCTTAATTCAGCTCTGCCAAGTGCCTCTCATCGTTGCCATTGGCTTTTGTGTGCAGTTTATTTGGCAAATAAATTTACCAACTATTTTGCTAAACTGGCGAGCTGCCTGAATGGCGTGGATTTTGTGATTGCTTTCTGTTTTCGAAATCACCCATTCTGAGAGGGGAAAACACCCATTCACCAAGCAAAAAAAAAAAGCAAGCAATTCGAATGGGAAAATTTGTATTTTAATCATCATCATCATCGGTGGACAAATTGTGTTTGCATTAAAAACACGATAACAAACACGATACGTGTCAAATCGAGTTGTGGGCCGCGTTATAAGCACATCCGATCATCTGTAATAATCAATTAAGCCGCAGGGGCAACCAGAACGCCGAATTTAACGAAAACATGGCAGTTGCAATTTGTTTATTTGCAATTATTAGAATTAACAATGCATCGATGATTGATGCGAAATTAGCGCTGTGCAAACATTAACGGCATGCAGCTGCCATGGCAACGCGCGATATCCGAGTGCGCTGAGTTAGCAATTAGAGGGAATGAAATTTGATAGCTCAATAGTTGGCAGCTCGGGCTTATTAAATAATTGAGCACCGATTGCCGGCAATTTATCACAAATGATTTGTACGTTGGTATGATGGTAAGGAAAGAAGAGAAGCATCCACCGTACCCATCACGCCATCGTATAAATCTCTAGAAATACGATCCCATGACAGGCTACGCTGCCACAATTACACCCGACAATTGCCCGAATATCGATAAATTAATCAACATCCAGAAGAGCGAGCAAACGTTGCCAGCTGCCATTAAATCGCCCGTTTGCTATTTTAAGAAGCATTCCAAGTATTTTCCTCTCCTGACCGTGGTCTGCTATTAATGTTTTACTGGCCAATGGCATGGTCAGCGGCACTGAAAATTAGCCCAAAACGCATATGCCATAAATCCTGAGACCGGGCTGAGAGCCAGACAACCGCTCAAACTATGAAACGAAACTTTATTGACCCACAAATAACGTGCAGATAATTACAAAAACAAAGGCAACTGCCCCCAGGAAAACAAATGTGTCCGTTGTGGGGGATGGCAAAAAAAAGCGAGTAAAAGGACAGGAAATTGGGATATAAGGACTCGACTAGGATATATCTAATAGGTAGACAAAGGTTATATAGATGTAAATTGAAAATAAATATATATTTTTACAACTTTTCATTCAATGGTCGATTGACATACACTTTCGAAATCTCCTCTCTCAAAATCACCTTCCTAGCCTAATACTTACTAAAAAGGATTAAAAGAGCTTAAACAGGATATACCCTTTGATATTTGAGAGTAGCGGGTATCGAAAAAAAGAAAATGCCATGGCAAAGTGGAAAAACTACTTACAAGTATGTTAACATGCGCAATTGTTGCCGTTGTCCAGCTCCAGACCTCCGGGCAAACTCAAGCCAAGGAGCAGCAACAGAAGCAGCAGCAACAATGCCACGGAAATCTTTTCTTTTCCTGCCAGAGTTTTTCACCAACACCCAACCCCTGGGCCTCTGCGCCTCGGTGGGTTTTTCCAAAAGATGCTCAAGTTTATTTGTTGTGGTCATGGCAGAAAGTAATCCAAAAGATAAAATACAATAAAATAAAAGGCCAAGGCGGTGAGTTATGTCCGGAGTTGTTGTTGTATTGGTGGGCAGTCGGGCAAGGAGGGCGGGCGCAGGCAGGTCGCATAGACAATACAATACCTTAAAGCAACCCATGTGTTGTCGTCTGTCGAGCGAGTGTGCATAATTTATATGGCGAGCTTCACATGTTTTTGGCTAAATTATTTCCCTGGCCCCAAGCACGTGCTGCTCTAGGGGCCACACGCGGCCTTCAGGTCAACCGTTTGGGCCATAAATTTAGACGCCTGCCCTGCGACACGCTCTATGACATTATTGAACTTGAAAGGGATATGGCCAAGCAGCAAAACAATAAGCCGAAAGCGGAAGACAAGGTGCCAGATCAGGGGCCACCAACACACAAAAGCCACTGAATTGACCTTGTAAGCCCTGGTTAACTGAAAAATGTTGAGCACGTAAGTGGCCTTAATTTGGTTTAGGTCATCTTTAATCCAACTAAAAAAGATGATTCAAAACTAAAGATCTAAAGAAACAAACATAAATATGAGAACTCAATTTAGTTATTCATTTTTTAGCTGCAATTTAAAATACTTTTTGGATATATTAAACAATAATAGACGTAAATGAATCATTATTAAAATATTCTATCATAGCTTTTAATCTTTTAGTTCTAAGAGTAATTATATAAAGCTTTTGTTGATAGTACTTAATGGTTTTTCAGAACGTCAATCAATGAGAATTTTGACGTTAGAAAAATCTAATTTTTTCTGCAATCTGTAAATCAGCTTATCAACCGTGTTAAAACCATATTAAAACCATATTTTATATTAAATTTAAAAAATACATAAATAATAAATAAACATTTTTAAAATTTAGCTTTTTCTATACAAATAATTCTAAGAATAAACAATTAATGACATGACGACTTGATAATAGCTTTTGGAAATATTCAAAATAGTTTTTTTTAGTGTGAATACTGATAAGCTGGCAGCTCTTTAAGAAATTCATAAATTTTAAAATGATTTAGTTTATGGGGAGCTGCCTTCTTGGAAACATGAACCCCGCCGTATGTTTTGCTATACTCACATGGGTGCTAATTCATCAGGGATCGGCCCAGCTTATGGACGAGAATTGTGGAAGAGTTACTCATTATAAGGGTGAAGTGATCACTGACAGTCCGTGGATGGCATTGGTTGTAATGCCGAATAAAAGCTGTAGTGGCGCTCTGATTCACAGACGTTGGTATAACGATATAAATTCGTTTAAAATAATTATAGAAAATTTCATTTCAGAATTTGTGATAACATCAGCGACTTGTGTGTTAAATCATGGGCAAGCGTGAGTCAGCTCTACTTTTTACTTAATAATTCCTTAACTAAACTTTAGCCTTTCAACAGAACCGTTCGCTTGGGAGATTTTAAAAGCCTGCAACTAAGAAATATTAGCAATCACTATCCCCTTTCGACATATATTGTACAAACAATCTTCATCAATAAGTTATATGACAGAAGTAACTATAACCATGATATTGCTCTGCTGAAACTGAAAGAAGAAGTGCTCTATAAAGCCCACATACGTCCGATATGCATTTGGTTAAACAATCGAAATCCTACCGAACTAAAAGAGCTTAGGGAATTCAAAACCACCCGCTGGGATCTAAATCAGAACATATCAGATCCCGAAATAAAGAAAATACCACATTTAAACCCAATTGAATGCGAGAATGCCTTGAACATTTCTACAAAAAGCTCGCAGATTTGTGCTGGCTATAAAAACGACTCCATTTGCGAGGAGCCTGGAAGCCCTCTGATCTGGAAGATATTGTATTTTAAAAAGAGACGTTCTGGTCTTTTAGGAGTTCAGAGTTATGGAGTCTCAGGAACCTGTTTATATACCGATATCATGAGCTATATTGATTGGATACTGGGAATCGTTTTTGACGTGGAAATCATAGTTTAAAATTTCAATATAAAAACGTACTTGATATATTATGACCTCTAAAAATCTAAGTACACAACTTTTCTATGAAAATTTTATAAATCTAATCCCGGTGAAAAAATATAGCTCGTTTTTAAGCATCCCTTTGGTTTCTTTTATGAGACGAGTCAGAACACACTTTCGGGCCAGCAGCCAATTTCATTGGCTTTAAAGTCAGAAACTGCTGCTGCCTGGCTGGTATTCATGTTGTTGTGGCTGCAATTGCTCTGGGACCATTTAGCATTTTTCAAGTAACCACATGGGGCTAAGACCGACAGCAGATAGGGCCCGAACCTTAATAGCTGGAAAGCGGTGGGGCAGAGTTGGCCGACCGGTGTTGAAGTATTACACAACTCTAAACAGGCGCAAAAGTTTCGCCAAAGAAAATGTTCTTAATTTGATTTCTTCAACGCCCCTGGAGTGCAGTATTGCGGCCAGGAAAGCGTCTAAATGTCCGTGTATTTTATAAATATATATATATATAGGGAAAGGTATATAAACCAGGGCCCGACTAAGGGCAGACAAGGTCTAATAAAAAGGCTTGGGAACAAAAGTTTTTAATAAAGTTTTTATACCCTACAAGCTACAAGCATAAACTCAGCCAGTAAAACAGGCCAAGGGAAGGGGCAAAAATGGAAATAATTGAGGCAATTTGTTACAAAAGAAATAAAGGTGAGGGCGCTGTGTTAGGCCCTTTTTTTTTGCTCAATATAAAAACCTTGCAATAGCCAAATAATCGCTTTGATCCTACCCACAAAGATGTCAACTTTCCACTTGGAATTTCTTAAACCAGAAAGCCAGCAAGCTCTTGAAGTTTCGAGGTCGAACAGCGCGCGCACACAGTGCCATATGCACCGTTTCCCAATGCAGTTTGAATTTCATTTCAAAACAATTTGTAACCGTCTCTCTCTCCGATATAGACACACTCACACGCAGGCTCGCGGCAATCGAAGTTTGGTTTGGCAGCTAAGCAAATTTGCTGCAAGTCTGCCATTGCCACTGCCGAGTCAGCAGTGCAAGGATGTGCCGCCTGCCTCTTGCCTCTGCCTCCTGCAATCTTCATACTGCATCCTGCAACCCATTCGATCAGATCCGCTTACGATTCACTGAAGAAAATGTATTATATATTTTAGAAAAACTAGAAGAATATTTTAATTTCGTACCAGACAGAGAGCAGTAAGGAAAATCTGTATTATTCGAAGCTAAAAGTATATTTAAGACTGATTTTAAGAGGCCTAGCTTTTAGTTAACTGTGATAAGCAAAGTTCATTATCATCTTGACAAACTATAAGTTTTTCTTTCAGTGTTCGATGCGTGTGCATGTCAATAGTTTTGCGCGTTCGCTGACGCTCTTCGCTGCCTTTTTCTTTTTGATGAATTGACAGGCAATGCTATTTGTCAGCAGTCAATGTGTTTGTTACATTTTATTGCCAGCTGGTTGCCGCTGATGCTGCTGATGTTGCTGTTGCTGCTGTTGTTGCTGTTGCTATTGCTGTTGCATTGTTAATGTCAGGCGTTAGGGCATACGCTAAACATGGGGAGCAAGTTATTTGTCTGCATTTTATATGCAATTTCTCTATGCATCTCGCTGTTCGACAGACGGCCTGACAGGACAAAAGGACGAAAAGGACGAAAGGGAAGCGTGGAGGCAGCGGCAACACCAGCAAATTGTGTTGTATTGTACTCGCATGCATCCGACAGTCGACAGCTGAGAGGCGATTGCGATGGCTATAGCTTCTTCGATTTGCATGGTCGGTGTTTGAAATAGATTACGCATCCGGCGTGCCAATTGCCCCTTGAACTTTGATCAGCGGATGGAGAGCAGGTCACTGCTGTCAATCAAAGAAATTGTTCCGCCTTTCTTTGACTGAATGCAATCAAACTTTTCTCCAACAATTGTGCAATATTAATAATTCTCAATATCTCAGCAGGCGACATGGTTGCCACTGGCAACAGTTTTAATAAAATTCATTACAAGGCAAAAATACTGATTGGTTGGAATTCAATTAGGTAAGTCACCTGCAGAAGCTGCTTCCTGCTGATGCCAGCCTATCTTGATTTAATCTAAAGTATTTTTCACCCTTTATGCCAGAAACTGATTTTCCTTTCATCGTCGCAGTTCGCCGAGATGGCTCGATTTGCATGCGAATTTATATTTTTCTGTAAATGAAAAACCATTTGCCACCACTCCACCTCCAGCAATCCTTGGCTACTGCGAATGCAATGGCTTCAGGTTGTGCTCTTTCATTCTTTTACGTGAAAAGTTTACAAATCTCTTAATAAAACTGAAATAAAACCTAACAAAAGGAAAATAGTTTATCTTTAGTAAAAGTTTAAAGAAGTTAAGCTAGACATTCATACCTAACTCACTTGCTTACGTCAGAGTAATAATTTCCAAAAATAACTGGGAAATCAACGGCAGTCTGGTTTCCCATGTGGTTTCCGGTTAAAATATTTTTTCGCATTTCAGTTGCGTTTTATAAATAAGTTCATGTCAACATAAATTAAAATACGCCCGGTTGATTAATAATGCACAAGGAAAATGTCACAAAGAAATATGATTGTACGACGATTCCCTCACTTAATTCCCTCCACTCCTTCGGCAACTCACTCAAAAGTGACCTGAACGAATCAGCAATAAGGCAAAAGGAACAGAGGATAATGTAGCTTAACTACATTACATTTTAAATACTCTACAAATATATATTTAAAATTCATTTTTAATGTTTTACTTAAACAAAAATGCTCTTACACCTCAGATATGGTAAAATAACAGTGATATATTATTTCAAAATTTATTTTTCATTGTTGTAATTACAAATTCTACCATTTTTCTTTGGAATTAAATAATATTTAAAAAAACCTGACTCTACTATGTTTAACTTCTCTTCCAAGCCAACTAACATCAAAAAACCCCAACCAAAATCCCTGAGTTCTACCCTTTAGTAAGTGTGTGAAAATATTGTGTGCCAGCACAAAAATAAAGTCATTAAAATTGTAAATATGTGTACAAGTGGAAGACCGGCGAGGAGTTAACGGGGACAAAGGGAGAAGAAGAAGGACGAGATGAGGCAGCCATCCTGTGTGCGTGCAAGAAATGGAAATGCGGTTAATTTCCGTAAAGTATGCAATAATTTCTGGCACTGAGCATAAGCAAGTGCACCCAGTGTGTGTGTGTGTGTGCTTACATACATATACATACATATGTGCGATTGCAGCACAACAAAAGGCAAAGAGTAAAATAACTGCCACGCCTCCCCAACCCGCCCCTTGCAAGTAAATCTCTTTGGCAGCCTGCGAAGACGGAACTAACGAACAAACGGACATTCATCAATATAAATCAACCGACGGCCACAAGCCAGGCCAGGCCCAGTTGCAAGGATTTTGGGGCATGCTACGATAACTGGCATCTAGAGATGGCAACAGAGCAGCCTGAAAATAATAAGAAATCTTAAAAGCCATCTTTGTCTTATTAAATATATTTTCTATTAAAAACTTCTTAAAGATCAAACATCCAATATCCACCTTCAGTTTTATATATTTAATAAAAAATTACTCTTTTTTTGAGATGTATATATCTATATCTATTAGATCCGATAAATATATTATTTTCGATTAATATATTCCATAGAGATTAGTAAGCTGAAACTAAAATTAGAGATATCTTTTTCGATGCATTCTCTAAAATATTGAGAATCATATTTTATATATCGAAATTTTCCAGTCGATAAGCATCCCTGGCGAAACAGTAAGCCAGGCAAAGGGAAGAGGCCGCCCCATCGGAATAAATAAAAACATTTTTTGTATAAAAATGGCTGCGAATTGGTTGGCAACCGGGGTCAGCTCCGGAATGAAAAGGATGGAGGGGGCCAGGCGGCTGTAAAAATGTTGGCCAAAGAAATATTTTCACATTTTTATTTATTTTTTCTTATTCGGCAAATGGCAAACGGACGGCTTCGGCCGGTCCCTGGTTTTTGGTCCTCGGTCCTTGGTCCTGAATGTCCTTGCAGCTGCTACTGCTGCTGCTGTTGCTGTTGCCACAGTAGCATTTTCGTTTCATTATGTTCCGCGTGCCTAAAGGATTGCAATATATATTTGAATTTTCGTTTTTTTTTTGTTGTAGTTGTAGTTGCCACTGACTGAATCGTTTGCATGTTGCAAGGGAACAGGCGGTGGTGGCAATGCTTTCCCTCTTGCACATCCACATCGGCATGCTTTACAATACACAGAAACGTTGAGGCCACGCATTTTGACTTCGGTATTTGCGGCTTTTTATGTAATTCATGGTCATTCCCCATATGCATGTGCCAGCAAATTTACTGCCTGGCGAAAAATAAACAACTTATGTGCACGGATTTGGGCAGAAACAAGCCTTCCCGAAAATCACGTTATTTATGCGATTTTTCAGCCAGCTGAAACTGAGATCAAGCAATTAAAGCAAGAATCAGGAAGCCATCTATCGGAGAATAATCAAAATTTAAATAAAAAAGTTAAGAAATTAACCAAAAATGTTACTTTTTAAAATGTGTATAGTTAGTGCCTGTTCTTGCAAATATTTTACAAAAAATTAACAACTTTTTTAATTAATTTTGGATTCTTATATGCCTATAATTACGTTTTATAAGTATTCCTCATGTTTATAGTTTATTAGACTTTTAAATGCTATATTTGTTTAAAATGATTTATTGATTGAAATTGTCACCAAAAAACTTCAAAAAAAGCTTTAAAAAATACTTCCTTTTACTTAATTAAAGAACTTTGCAGTTTCTTTTTCTCAGTGCATTTCAATGGCGGTGCATTTTATTTGTCATTTCCGGCTTGTGCCGGAAGTTGAAATTATTGAAATCAAACGGAAATGCATCGAAGCAAATGCATAAAAAAGTGGGAGCCGAAAATCTGATTAACCCATTTTATATTTCAAGGTAAAACGTCCTTAAGGATGCTTTAAAGGCACTTTAGATTTGAAATAATTCTTAAAATTAAATAAAAATGTTTATTAAAAATTTACTTAATCTTATTTAACGAAATATTTTTCTTTAGAACTGAATAAAACACCTTTGTTTGGAAAATACTTTTCGAGAGGCGGCACCAAATGGGTTAAGGCTCGACTCCGATTGAACAACTATCCATCTGTCTATCCGTGTGTGTGTGAGTGTGTGCTTGCCTGTGCGCCGGCCATAAATAAATATATAAATTTAAATAAATGCTGCCACAATGCCCGCACACTCACAGTTTGTTTGTCAATAAATCAGAATACTTATCAACGTCAAACGACCGCAAAGAATGCAAGCAAACAACATAAGCGACCCAGGACCAAAGTGTGGCTTCGTTTCAGGAGGTCTGCGAGGGTTTATTACCCGCGATTAAATTTATTAAAGAAAGCGAAAGGAAAACTAAGACTTAAAATCAGAAATGCATACCCTTTAATACCAAAATAACATTTTTCACAGTGCATTTAGAGCAAAGACAAGAGACCACTGACACTTGCTGCTCTATCGGTACTCCAGCAGGCATTTTGGAGGCCAATTTATGGCCAGTCTGTGCTTATTTCGCCCATTTCCCCTTACCAACATTGTGTTTTGGGCCTAGTCCCGAACTAAGTCCGCTAATTGCGCCGCCTTAGCCAGGCCATCAGGCCATCTCGACAGGCAGCCCGGGGAATCCCCTCCCATAATTATGCGAAATGTGCGCCATTTCTTCGGACTGTTGCCTGTTATTGTTTGCATTATTAGCTGACAATTTCGGTGGCACTGTGATGCCAAGTGGCGGGTCTGTGATTAGACAGGCTCTTTGGGCTCTGGGAAATTGTGGGATTAGCAGGCGCTTTGTCTCTGTGGCTGGAAACTTGGACGGCTGAAACCATCAGTCGCTCGGTCGCTCGATAAGCGCTCCAGGGCCATCCGAGCCAAAGAAGTTGATGTTTTTCTTGCATAATTACGACCATAAGCCAAAGGCTTGTTATTACAGGCCAAAGAACTGGCCGGTTTCCAAGAAGGCAGCCCGAAACCAAATCGATTAAATCAATGTTAGTCTCAAAATTGGCTAAATTAAGACATTTATTGAACCAACTTTTATGAGAAACAACTGAGTCATTTTTAAAGTTTAAGGATTTAATAGAAATTTTTAAAATATTCTATAAAATTCTTGGGTTTTACCTTTTTAATTTCACTTTTATATAATTTCATTGGGAGTTATTAATGTCATAATGAAAATATGTAAGATAGTTCTCTCAGTTTTATTTGAAGTCCACCGCCTTTCAGTTTTGGAAGGCATACTGTATCGTTAGCCTTGCCGCTCCTTTTGCATTCAAAATGGAGCAAATATTTTAGAATTTACCTGAATCGCATGCAAAAGCCTTTGTCAACATCGATGGTCCGCTGTGACCACGCTCTTTGTTGTAGTTTTTTGTGAATGCGCAATTGTTCAGTGTCGCCATGGTTGTGGCATGCACAAAGCGCCGATTGCATAGCCCACCCACGCACTAAAGCTTTCAGGACATGCTACCCGACCTACCAACCAAACGCTTTTTTCGGCGCTGACATGTCCAGGCACTGGGCAAAAAACAAACCCATACGAGTATATGTATATTCAATAGGCCAGGCTTGCCAGAGTGTTTTCCGACGTTTTTCTGTAATTCGTTGTAGTTTTTTCCAAGTTGGCTTTCAGCCGGTGCCGAAAAAAAATCGGCCTGCCTACATAAAGGCGCTAGCATATTAAAGGCTTAAACCCACTCAACGGCAGATGCCATATTGTTGAAATATATGCAGATACGTCGCGCATACGTCATGTGGAGATGGAATCCGGTTTGCAAAATGCATTCCATTCAAAAACCCTACTGCGATTTTTCATTGCAAGCGTTTAAGCAATCGAATGCAGCCACATTTAAGCATTATAAATATTTAAAAAAAATTAAATGGATTTCCGCCGCATTTCAAAGAATGCCCTCCAATCGTGAAAGTATATAATTACAGCTTAACAGAAACATAAAAAATACTACAAACTTATATAACAAAGTAGTTTGTTTGAACGCCAACCGCATCGAAGTGGGCCTGGAATCTTTCGCAATGCTGTCGTCGTGTCGTTTGATCTCATTCAGTTTCTATTTTCGCTCCGAACAACTTCCAAATTGAACAGCAAAAATTTTGTAAAAAAAAGTTTACTATTTTTCGATACATTTTATTTTTGGAAAACTTGAGTCGACAAAATGTGTTCCCCGTGCGGTCCTTGCAGCCCCTGTGATCCTTGTTGCGGTCCCTTCGAGTGCTCGCCCAAGTGCTACAATGCGGCCCAGTTGGAGGCGCTGCCTCAATGTGCCCCGCGCATTCCTCCGCCTTTCCCGAAATGCATCACTGTCCAGCAGCCCCCGCGCATGATCTGCAAGAAGCGTGTGGTCTTCACAGAGAAGATAGTACCGGAGCCCATGGTGGTGAACAGATGCAGGCAGATCACCATACCAAAAGTCGTAGATGCCACACGAGTGATCAAGGTTCCCAAGCTGATCTGGGTGTCGCAGATGGTGCGAGAGCCCAGGGTTATCTACTACCCCTCGATGATCCCCGATCCGTATGTGGTGTGCTATCCCAAACGCGTCTGCGAGCCAAGGGAGGTGTGTCAATCCATCTTGTGCCAGCCGAAGCCACAAACCATTGATATCCCGCCACCAAGGGAATACTGTTGCTATCCAAATGGACCCATCAACTACAAACCCAGTGCCGCCTGTCCACCTTGCCCCATTGGACCTTGTGCTCCTGGGGGACCCTGCTGTCCGCTGCCCTGCTTCTCCACAAATCAGTATCCCGTCGCCGAGGGCAGGTGCGGGCCATGTGGACCTGGTTGCGGACCCTGCGGACCGCGTTGTGGTCCCTGCGGACCCGGCCCCTGTGGACCCTGCGGGCCGAGGTGCGGTCCGTGCGGACCATGCGCCGTGCCAAACTGCGGGCCCTGCGGCCTCACGATGCCTTCGGGCCCGTTTGTCCCGTCTCCATGTGGACCCTGTGCTCCCTGCGGGCCATGCGGACCGCTCAGCAACAGTCCATGCGGTCCTTGCGGACCGTGTGGACCATGTTCGCCCCCCTGTCCGTACGAATCGCCGGAGTGTGGACCCTGCTATCCGTGCGCACCTACTCCCTGGAATACGCACTGCGGTCCCGTTGGTCCTTGCGGTCCTCAAGTACCCTGCGGTCCCTGCGGCCCCTGTTAAGATCAACGTATTGCCACCTGGATTACCCGTTGTCAGAAACCAGTGCCCTGTGGACCAAAATTGTATATCCCGACCGCTTTGCTACGACACAGAATATCATATTGTTTTCGCTGTCCTGCTACTAATCACTACCAAAGTCTATAGTTTTTGCTTTGTGAACGCATTGACGACTCATTGGCTGTAAATAAAAATCGGATTTAAGCGAATGTCACTATTGTTTTCAATCTTTTGACAGAAAATGGAAAGGCTACTTAAAAAGTCATAGATATTTTTTATATTTTTCCAAATGTCAAGTAGGCTTTGCCTTTCCTTTTCAGTTAAGGTGTGGTGTGGAATCTGGTATAGCTGCCATTTCGAAACCAGTTTCGCTTCGATACAGTTCTAAATTTCTGTGATTAAATTTTATAACAAAAATTTAAAATATTTTTTTTTTCAGATCTCATTTTGGTTAACATTTATCGAACCGAACCATGTGTTCCCCGTGCGGTCCTTGCAGCCCCTGTGATCCCTGTTGCGGTCCCTTCGAGTGCTCACCCAAGTGCTACAATGCGGCCCAGTTGGAGGCGCTGCCACAATGTGCCCCGCGCATTCCTCCGCCTTTCCCCAAATGCATCACCGTCCAGCAGCCCCCACGTATGATCTGCAAGAAGCGTGTGGTCTTCACAGAGAAGATAGTGCCAGAACCCATGGTGGTGAACAGATGCAGGCAGATCACCATACCGAAAGTTGTGGATGCTACAAGGGTAATCAAAGTGCCGAAGCTGATTTGGGTGTCGCAGATGGTACGAGAACCGAGAGTCATCTACTATCCGTCGATGATTCCGGATCCATATGTGGTTTGCTATCCCAAGCGCGTCTGCGAGCCAAGGGAGGTGTGCCAATCCATACTGTGCCAGCCGAAGCCACAAACCATCGATATCCCGCCTCCAAGGGAATACTGTTGCTATCCAAATGGACCCATCAACTACAAACCCAGTGCCGCCTGTCCACCTTGCCCCATTGGACCTTGTGCTCCTGGAGGACCTTGCTGTCCGCTGCCCTGCTTCTCCACAAATCAGTATCCCGTCGCCGAGGGCAGGTGCGGACCTTGCGGGCCATGTGGACCTGGATGCGGACCTTGTGGCCCTTGCGGTCCTTGTGGGCCCTGTGGGCCCTGTGGACCTTGTGGCCCTTGTGGTCCCTGCGGACCCTGTGGACCTTGCGGACCGGGATGTGGTCCTTGTGGACCTTGTGGACCTTGCGGACCGGGACCTTGTGGCTTTGGTCCTTGTGGTCCTTGCTAAGTGGGGAAACAGATGGATGGAAAATTTTGACGTCCTGTGACGCCCCTACGTTTTGGAAGTCCGCATCCGGTTCAGATATATGCCAGTCCAAAATTGATTTTGCAAGTTTTGTACATATATTAAAAGCTTCCCTTAATGCAATATAATATTAAAAGGTTTTTATTGGTAGAAACATAAGATTGCTGTTTTGTTTAGTCTTTAAATATATTAAAATACTAACAAATAAACATTTTTCAAAAAACTAGATAGGTAAAAATAGAATTTTGGAGGCAACTCTTTTAAAGGATAGCCACATCTAGGGACTTTTTAAGAAAAGTGAGGGTCCCTTTGAAAAAATACTCGAAAATTTGGACTAGGGTAACACTAAGATTACAGTCATCTGTCAAACTAACAAGTTCTCTACTGAAAACAGTCCGTCAGACTAACAAGTTCTCCACTGAAAGCTCTAAATCAGCAACTTTCCAAATTTGAATTTTTCGTAAATCATGCCGAATTCCTGCTACTTGCCCAGAATAGGGCCAGCGGTCTTCTCTAAGCTGGGCAAATGGGCCTACGACATGTCTGGATTCAACCAATATGGTCTACACCGCGACGACTGCTTGCATGAAAACGAAGATGTGATAGAGGCGGTGCGTCGTCTGCCCCGCAAGATCTACGATGAGCGCAACTACCGCATTATGAGGGCACTACACCTTTCGATGACCAAGACGATCCTGCCCAAGGAGCAGTGGACCAAGTACGAAGAGGACATCAAGTACCTGGAACCCTATCTCAACGAGGTGATTAAGGAACGCGAAGAACGTGAGGAGTGGAATAAATCCCATTGATCTGTCGAGCCTGATGAAATTTTAAACATTGTTATGTTAATCAAAACTACGACAGAATCAGGAATATGTTAAAAGCTTTGCAAAAATTGATGGCTGAATAAATATTGTAAAAGCTTAAACAAGTTATGATTATTTTTTAATCTATTGAACATTTTTTTATGGCAATTCCTGAACTCATAAAATTAAAATTTTACTCACAAATTAACCATAGCCTTAACATTATAACACCTAATACCAGTTCATCCGCAGCTTACTTTAAAATCGTCTACCGAAATAGGCAACCGATTTAAAATCCTTTTCGATCCCCAGCAATGTCAACGCAAATAATTTTCGCATTAAGTGCATTCGCATAAATACAATATATGAAATTCATTAACAGCGAAAACAATACAAATTAGTGCTGGGGGGCGTGACCCTGCCGATGAACATGTGTATGCCGCCCACCCGATTTTAAATAGCAACTGTGGGGCGTGGCTACGTCAGCGGCAAACAAAATGCGTGTGCATGGCCCGCACATCCTGTCAATCCTCGTATACTTATGCGCATCCTGTTTAAAATGCAGCAAACAGAAACAGCAACACCAACAATGCAGCTGCAGTTGCAGTTGCAGATGCAGATACTTTCACAGCCGTATATATCCGCATCTCTGTCGCTGTCTGATTGTTCTGGCGCTGCCATTCGACCGGAAGAAATTATTGTTATTCGAATCGATCTGCCATAGTTTCGATGCCGCTCAGTGCGATAGGCAATGTTGCTGCCACAGGAGCGATATCGCTGCGTCTGCGGCCAGTAACTGCCGGACTTGTGATAACGTCAACGCAGGAGAGTGCTGCAAACGCTGTTTGTACCCTGTACTAATATGATTTAACGGTATGCAGTATTTACAAAATAATACAATAAACTTGGAGTAGCCATGTACTGAAAAGCTATTTGTTTTGATAACAAAGTTAATTTAACTTCAAACTATGCTTAGCTTGATCTTATAATTGCCAAGTTCTTTTTTGTTAGAATTTGTTTAAAAAGTTTAAATTTATTTTACGGTTTTCCGTTTAGTTAGAGGGTATATCCAGGCAATACCCACATTGGAGCCCTTTTCCTTGTTCCTTTTTTTAATGCTGCCATCGTTGGCGTTATTTATTTGCGCTCACATATGCATAAATAACGAGTAGTGGTGGGCGGGTGTCTCACCCACCCCCCTTCCAACGAACAAATGCCCAACTGCCGCTTGTACAATAAATTGCAAAAATATTATTTTATCAACAATAATTAATTAAATGCACTTAATTGCGTGCCGCAGTTGCTGTGTTGTTGCTCGGTTTTCATTTTTATTTATTTTTGTTGCCTTATTTTTGTGTACACTTTCAGCTGTCCCCTGTTCGACCTTGTTTTTATGCAGCTGCTACTGATGTGGCTGGTGGATCGTGGGTGGGTGGTAGCTGCAACATGGTCATCTGCATGCATATGCTTGAGCAGCGTTGTAAGTAGCCATGTAAGTGGACAAGTGGCCAACCGTCTGCGCTCTCTTTCCACTCTCTCATTTTCCTTTTTTCGGTCGAAACTCTTTCTGCGATTTATGCGTATTTTTAAGTGGCATTAAGTGCGCGTTAACATCTTATGAAGCCGGCAACGGCAACAATAAATTATTGCAGTAACAGCAGCAACATCTGGATGGTCATTAAACGCCCCGAAACAAATGCTAATTGACGAGTGCCAGAAAGTATGCTTTAAAAAAGGCGGTAAGCCGACGGAAAAGCTTAATGAGTTGTTCGGCTAATTGGGGGAATGCAACGGCAGCAGGGAAAGTTGCAGATGCAGCTGCAACATGCAACATGCAACATCTCGAGCTGTTACATTTGCATTGTTATTGTGGCAAGTTGGTGGGCTTGCTGCATTTTCTGGGTACTGTTGTTAATGAAGTTTGTCGGCCGACATGCGGCAGGGAGAAATATTATGCATACGCCATGTTGACCAAAACTTTTACAAATCCTGTGCTGTCCTGTCCTCTCCGTTCCGTTCCTTTCCATTCCTTTACTTTCCTGGCCATGAACATTGCACGTTCTTTGGACACATTTAGTCTCAGTATGTGTGTGTATGGTAATTTACAATCCCCTGCGCATGCAATGTACACATGCCTGCACGTGTATGGGTAAATTGTTAAATTTATACACAAAAGCAACGCTGCGCTGCGCTGCAACTGCCAAAGTAATTTGCGATAAGTGCGTCAGATTCTTTGGGGAATTTTCGACCAGCACGACCACAGAAGCAGCATCACCATCACCGCTGAAAATAACAACAACAACAACTACGACAATAATAATGAAACCACAACAACAAGTGAAGTAAAAAGTGAATATTTATTCGGTTCCTGCGAGGGGACGTAGCCACCAGCCAGCATAAACGAAACAGGAATGCTCTCCGATCTGGCATTAAGATTAAAGCCTTCTCGCTTTGGGGAAAATTAAGTTTAGCTACCCTTTGGATTATGGAACATATTTGGGGGTGTTTTGAATTTACTGTTATGCAATTACCTTTGAAAAGGGGAAATATTTCGATTACAAATGCCACTAAAGAAGATTATTTATGAAATAACATACTAGAAATATTAAATTGTTAATGAAAGTTAACCTACAATTACCCATAACCCATTTAAACATTTAATTATAGATACTGCATTCCTTAAAGATCCCAATATGAACTGCACATAAATATATTTATTGGTATGCCCAGAGGACGTTGGCAATCAGGAAACTTCTGACCAAGCCAAGATGAAAGGCAGCTCAAAAATCCAGCGCACATTTCATTTGCGGCTTGTCCTGTTCGCCACAACTTCGCATGAGTGTATGCGTGTGTGTTGACCAGCGTATCTGTGTGTGAGCCTTCCTCTGTAAATAAGTCACAAGTGTATGCATATATAGGTACTTAAATATATGTCTGTGTGTGTAAAAAAAAAGGCAATTTGTATTTCAGCGTGTGCTTTTTATTCAGGGCTGCCCCGCAATGCTGTAATAATAAATTGCATAAAAGTATGCAATGAAAATAAAAATGCCAGTGCGTAATTAATGAGTCAAGGTGGTGTCATATGGTGCTTACCCACACTCACACACACACTGAAGTGAGATGGAGACATGCGACTTTGCTGTACATTGCGTGTTAAGTCGCGTATTTCATGGCGTTTATTTATTATGCACAAAGTGCCACCGGGAATGGAGCAGGAGGATAACTTCCCTCCCATATAAGGGCCCAGCAAAATTATTGACTCAATTTGTAAGCTTGCACAGAAACGCACACAAAGATAGCGTAGCACTTACACACATACAACAATGGTCAAGATAATAGATAAAGATTTGATACTCTAAATAAAATCTACTTTGCAGATTTTTTATTATCTTTCATCTCTTGCAATTAATAAGAGGCGTCTAAAAGTATGCAGAGAAAATTAATTCAAAATTCCGTATTTAATTTTATTTCGGAACTCTTTCAAACCCCTCTATATAAGGGTTTGATCCTAGAATATCTAGAACACCGAGTGCTATTTTTGCTCCCTCAGCTGTACTCACACTCGCACACTCGAGGGACGTACGTGTGTAAGCCCCGCAGGCGCGTTAATTGCTTATGGGCCGCATATTATTCAGCTGTCATTCGGCAAATGGTAAGCACAACCGACTCGCCCCGCAGTTCTCTTGGCCGAGAAGAAGAAATGGCCAAAGTTGCGGCTTTGGCAAACAATTAGGCAGCTAATTTGCAGCGGCTAAAAGGGCTGGTCGCGACCTAATCCTGTCTTTTTGGCCAGGAGACAGAAGACTCAGGGACGCTGTCAGTCAGTCAGGCGGTCGCAGGCAACAGAGAAAGAGGGAGAAGAAGAGAGACATGGAATTTGGTATGAAATTTGGGCCAGCAGCTAAATCACTGCCAAATCCTTTTGACAAATACGCACACAAGGACGCGCAGACACAACTAAGCTGGGCGCTGCTGACTGCTGCCTGCCTGCTGAGCTGAAAGGAAACGGAAACACGCTAATATGGCAAGTTATTCAAAAGGCATTCCAGATCGAGATAAATGCACTTGCCGGTCTCCAAAGCTGAGATGATGTTGCACGGGAAGAAATGGGATTCACAGGATTTAATGATATTTTTTTATGTATTTTGCATTAAGTAATTAAAAATTATTCATATCAAATGACTTTTAAGGATATCAACAGCAGGGTTAGCTTAAAATAGCTCTTAATCGTTTTTATTTTCTTTCATTTCATTTTAATCCTAGTTTACTTCGTTTTCTTTCAAAATATGGATTCATGTAAAGTAAATATTTTAATTTGAGATCAATATTTTGCTCAGTGAGCAGCTCTAACTAGAAGAGCTGCCAGAGCAGCGTTGTCAACTGAGTGCTCGGCTGTCAACACACCGAAAACTAAAAAGGTGACAAGGACAAAGCGCTCCCTGCGCTGCTGTGGTTAACTGCTAGGATGTGAGGATGCCAGGATACTGGGATATTGGGAGTAGGATGGTAGGATACTAGAATGCCAGCACATGGCAGCTGTCATGCGTGCAATGGAATGGCTCCGATTTCTGGAGCCGGGGATCCACGGCTTACGGCTAAGTGGCAAAAGTTGCAGCGCTTCATATACTGAAAGAAATTTAGTATAAACTGTAAATGTTATTTTTACTATTAAATGAGCAAATTTATTATTAAAATTACCAATGAAATACTTAAAAATCATATAACTATGGCTTCTTTCACAATATTAATAAGTATCTAACAAACTAAATTGTACTCTTTATCTATATTGCTTATAAAATTATCCCATTTTTTTTTTTTGAGTGACCTGGGCAAGCGCATCAATCAGCCAAAGGCATCCACATCAGAGGAAGCCGTCTCTTGTCAGCCGTAATTTACGCGCATTCACGCTCACTCCGCTCGCAAATGGCAAACAAAAGACACGGAAGGGTGACAGCCTCCGCAAATCGTTTTGATTTTGCACACACGTGACTGATTCACCGGCTGCCGGCGAAGGAATCCCCGTAAATGGCGGATGACGCCATATGACAGGATCTCCAAGATGCGCTGAAGTTGCGCGAATATAGTAAATGAAGCCCGTCAACGACGTTTGAATGCGAATAATGAAAACTTGAATTCGCAAATGATTTGAGTCATTGATGTCGAAGAACAAAGGGCCAAATCAGCCTGAAAAAGTAAATGGAATGGCTTGGCAAAGTTCAGCTTGATTATGGATAAAATGAAATGGAATATTCAATATAAATATAAAATTAATTTTATTTGGATTTTAAATGATGAGTTTGTAAAGACAAGCTAGCTTGCTTTGCCTTGTAAGCTGTAAACCAATTTCAACTTAACACAAAATCTATTTAACATTAATTAAACATTTCTGGAATTGAAATATTAAAATATATTTGCGAAAAACAATCTCTTTGATTTAGGTAATTACATTGTTTAAACAATCGGGCGCTAAACATTGTAACAGTCGAAATACAAATCTCATTTGGCCTGCCATTTGTAATGATAACAATTTAATTCAATAGAAAATAGTTCTGTGAGCTTACAGATACCCATAGAACATGACGTGCCCGGATAGCAAAATCAATTCCGCCACCAAACACATTGAGGGGAGTGTGCGGGTGTGAAGGTGCCAAACAGGTGATCATTAGATTTGGCAAGTCGTAAGCGATTCGCAACGTATTTACAACATTGAATCGACATTATTACGGAATGGCTGGCTGAATTGAATTGAATTATTATAACAGTTTCTGTTGTCAACGCTGCCAAGCGCGTATATCAGTGTGTGTGTGTGTGTGTGTGTTTGTATCTGTGTGTCTTTGTGTATTTGTAGCTGTATCTGTGGCTGGCAAGTACGTGACAGACGCGGTTTGGCGCGATTAAATTACGTTTATGATTATATTTTGTTACAAACACAATGCCATCGCACACACACACACACATGACTATACTGTCATAAACAAACGACATACTCACACACACACGCACACACTTAATCAAGAGGGCCATGTCACATTGTATTGAAGTGAAAATGGTTAACAATTGCGGCGGGAACAACAACAATGCCCCATTGATGCATGTTTGTGATGGATTTTCCTATTAAACGTTCACCGCGCCCAACTAAACAAAAGCCTTAATTGAATTTTAATTTAATCAAGAGGTGGTTGCACTGCAGCAAGCACACGGGCTAAAATCAATCAAAATAATCGATGTTAGATCGATTTTCAAGGGTTTGACTTCTAGGTATGTCTATGAATATGATTACTGTAAAGGTAAATTTTTGAAATAATTACTCTATTTTAATAGTTCTTAGTTTCCTGTGTCATTTCGAGTCCTTTGTTCTCATTTCCTTTTCTCTGTGCACTTTTAATCTTTCACTTACCCTTCGACATTCACGAGATTAACCGCACTTTATGCAAATGGGATGCTCAAACACTTCTGGCAATCTCAACACTTTCGTGCTCCAAGGAGCCACTTGAACTGCACCTCGAAGTCGTCCTCTCGATGCGATGCTTCCGTCTCATCTTCGCTTACGGCCTCCTGACATTAAATATCATTCCGGCTGACGCTTATTGCTTATTGCTATGCGAACGGGGGAAAAGCGATGGCAACAAAGGATATCGCAGTGGTGCTTACACATAATATGAAATTAATAACAATCATACGCCACGTTGCCCGCCTGCCTGCCTGCCAGCGAGCCAGCCAGCCCAGGCAGCCCAGCAGCCCATCAGCCCGGCTGAGTTTGCCATTTGCCACTGACAGGCGCATTTGGGTTCATAAGTTCTGCTCGCGAAGATTTCTAAAACTGTCAGAAATTGCAGTAAAATTACGCAGGACATGGGAAGAGCAGAGGAGGAGGTTGGTAAGATTGGAAGGCGGTGGAGCGCAGCTGCCAGAACGCTTATTAAAATATAAATATGCTAAAACAAAAAGCGCGTGCGGACGCCAAATGGACGAAGGGCTTTCGCCCAGCGAAAACAAAATAACAACAACAGAACGAAACACGGAGAGCACCGGGCAAAGTTAAAAAACTAAAGTTTTATACTATAAAATAATTTCAACTACTTGAAATAAGCACGCGCGCCGAGAGCGAGAAGGGGGAAAATCTCGAGCTGGGGGAACAAAAAAAATAAATAAGAAACAAAAAGCGAAAACAAAAATTTACTACACAACACAACTAAAGTGGAAATTTCATGCGCGCTGTGGAAACTTTAGCACTTTCGCCCACCGCCCGGAAAACTGCATCTCCATCCCCCGGGAAACTCTGACAGCCAACAAAAACAAAAACAACAACAAGAACAACAACTAACCATGCCAGGCAGTCAAGGCAGAAAGCAAAGTTGTTCCTTGGCAAACAATGCGCAGTTATTCTTTTGGCGAATTTCGGACCAAGGTTATTCCGATATGTATTATGCAGGCGCTGGCCGAGCTAAGGAATCTGCGTTACAGAAAATATTTAAAAACAAATAGTAGCCGGGAAAGCAAGGGTCCATGGACTTGGCTAATACATTTTTGATGGACTGCAGAACGGTGCCGTGGGTTTTCTGAGCCCCCTCTATCATTCGATTTTCATTAGTGAATGCACACAAAGAATACCAACTTCGGAACGAGCCAATGCATTTGAAGCGCAATTAGGCAAACATTCTGGGCGGCCTGCTCTAAAGAGAGGCATTGCAACCACTCCAACAATCAATCAATTAGCCAATTAGTCGGCAAACTCATCACGCTCATCAATTCCCATGCAAAACTAACTAATTTGCGCACACAGCTAATCAAATTTAATTAAGACATCCAGTAAACATCGTGGCGAGCCAAGAACCAAAGGCTTTACGCATACGCCTCCTTTTACTTTGGGAACAATTGAGGTGATGTAAGTAGTAATGGTATTAAAATGAGTATCTTTCGAGATACTATTTTGAAATATAAATATTGTTCTCTTATAAATTTAAAATTCCGTTTATAAATTAAGGAAAAATTCAAATATTTATCATTTCATTTGCTAACAAGGCGTATACGCAATTTGTAGTGCAGCCTGGAAGTATGCAACAGAAACCAATATACTGCACGTGTTTGTAATGCCTCGCTAATGAGCCGTATACGTAATATATAATTCTGCTGAAAAGTATGCAACAAAATATTTTAAATTTTTTCACATTCAGAGTATCTGTTCCTATTTATACCATATTGACCGCAACTGTTCTCAAACAATCTACGGGGCCTGAAGCCCATTGTCTGTTTGATTTACCGGTGAAATATGGTCTTTGTACACGAAAGCAGGCCAAACTAAACTCGTTTCAAGTCCAAACATTTTCGGTTATCAATGCAAATGCGTTGCGTTGTTGTTCATGAGCCAAAAAGTGGGCACCACCGCAAAAAGGCTTACCTGCAGACAATGCGTGCCACGCCCCCGCGGCATTCATCGCCCCACTATATATGGCTATATTCTCCATGGCCAATGGCTGTGCTTTTGTTTAGAACTTTTCAGCCCGGTGTTACCTGCCACAACCTGCAGTTGCGTGTGGGTAAATGGATGGTATGGGGCTGGGTTTTAGAGCTGGCATTCTACCGAATCGGTCGGACCTCGGGCAATTTTAGAGTTCTTTTATTACCAACTTGTTAGCTGTTTATTTGGCGCATTATTGACTCAACCGCTACCCGAAAAACCCAAGCAATTCTAGGACTACTGGGCCTAGTTCGCTCGGACCCGGATACGGAGCCGTGCGTTTAGATAATCAACTAAACACTTCATTATTCGTTCCTGTGGGGGTGGTGCAAATTGCTTCCACCCTACTCCTCTCCACTGTTCCCGAAGGGGGAAATGTGCGAAAATCCTTTGGTTTATTTCGCGTATTTTCCATGCACGCGTTTTCTGTTGGTTTCCTCCCTTTTTTTTAATTGAATGATAAAACATCGCTGTACAGCCTATTCCGATTCGCAGTGAGAGGCATTAATTTAGATTAGCGAACGAAAAGTGCGAGCTGAATGTTCTCAACAGGCTCTCTGTGTGTAAATAGTTGTTGAAAGCCCCGGCCCATTGAATTAGATGGCATGCATCAGATAGTAGGGAACACACCCATAAAGGTGCGGAGTGAATGATTGCCTAATAGTTAAGGATACCATTAATTTTTGAATAACATTAAATAGGTGGCTATACGAGAGATTTTAGTGTAGTATCCAAAAAGGAAACGTATTAATATTTCTTAGGGCTAGTTTTTAGGAATATATAAAAAAGATGACAAAATTATTGCAGTGCCAGAATGTATATCTTTTATTTTTTTACATATCACATCTTAAAATTTCCAAGGAACCGATTAGTTCCTTTGTTTAGTTTACAATTCAGCTACCAAATATAGTTCCTACTGGAAATATGATAATCTTTCTCTCACTATTCACTTGCAGGGTTTCATAGTGATAACCTCCATGCATACAAGCACTATATTTTCGCAACTCGAATGCCTTTCTAATGGGCTCCAAGTCTACCTTAAAACAATTGATTTTAAAAGTATCGAAGAAATGCATAAGTCCAATAACATCATACACGCTCGATACCCTTTCATTCCAGATGCTAACCGATGCGATGGGCAGGGGGTATTCCTTTCGAAATATATTAGTGGCTTCAAGGGGAGTGCGAAAAATATGCATGGTGATAATACCGGTGGGTCCTTCACCTAGAAACTTGTGTGGGATATCCCTTACCAGTATAGGCGTGGCGTCAGGCAATACCCGATCAGGAGAACCTATTATCGTCTTTGGTTTCAGTTCGGCAATCTTCTGCAAACTGCGCTGATAGCAAGGATGATTGGCCACCTTGGTATCTAAAGGTCTCATAAGAGTCACAACTCTCTCCTCCAATTCCTTTGATAGACTTTCTTGTACTAAGAGAACCGCAACCGCATCCAAGGCAAAGGGATCCTGCAGAGATTCGACGAGATGATAAAGGGCGCTATTGAGATCGCCATCCTCAAAAATCAGCATCATGCAAGGCGCATGCCAGCTATACTTGACTTCTCCTCTCTTGATTTCCTCGGGTTCCTCTTCATCTTCTGGTTCCGCTTCAGACTCCGATATATCCGCATTACTCTCTGACTCAGGATCACTTGACTTGCCTTCAGTTTTGCTAACTTCTACTGGTTTTTTCATAACATCTTCTATGATATCGGGCAGTGTTATCTTATCCATCACAACACTTGGTAGAATATGCACCATTTCTTTAGTTATTAGTGGCTTGAAGTCAGACATAATTTAAGCACTTTCGAAACTATATAATTTGAAAATCAGTTGTGATATAAAAACAAAAGCATCAGAGAGTGTAAACTTCTCTTAGTTTTGTCATTTTATTTAAAGAAATACAAAAATATTTTCAGAGCACAATTATAATGAACTCTCAAAAATTAATAGAATTTATAAAGTAAAATAAAATTGGCCAATTTTGAAAAGGAAACTAATTTAATTATTAAAAGCAAGTACGGCATAACAACAAACAATAAAAACGATAATGTGTTCCGTTTTAAATTTTGCAATATTTTCCTGTACCCACTTTTACGTAATTAATGAATATGTGGCGCCAAGTTTTCTGATATCGTTATCCAGATTTTAATTATCTTTGGTGCCAATTAAAAGCAAAAGCTTTCTACCTTTTGACTTGAGTTTTTGTGGCTTATGAATTTGCGATTTTTCGACAATAACTGACCGGAGGCTGTAAGAAAATCTGTTGCTAAGCTCGCTTGCATGACATGGCTTAGGGGCCTTAGGCAAATAAATATTAATGAAATGCATTTCATCAGCGATACCAAATTACGAAATGTGACTCCACTCGGAGCAGACCTTAGGCCAAGTTAATTCTTGACCGGAGTTCACAAAATCTTAAATGCAATTACGTTTTAGCATTTGTCGGATCTGGATTTTGGTTTCGGGCTCCAGGAGCAGTTAAGCTCAAGTTGACCCATTGTCAACTAATTGACAAATGAATGACTTGATTTGCTTGACAGCATTTGATTCGATGTTGCAGCCAAAATCGCAGCCAGGTCCTAAAACTGAGACTGAGTCTGAGCCCAGGACATGAGCATTTTACACTCATTAAGTTTAATTACATATTTTGCAGAGCCGACTTTGGGGCATTCGAAGCTGAAGTGCCTGCAGATAGATGAAGATTATCTCAGTTGAGTGGAACAATGGTGCTCCTGTGTGTCTGACTAAATTCAAAACTTAATCAACTCTCTACACTTTTGCTGAGCGGCATGAACACTTTGTTGGGCAATTTGAACAGCTGGGTGGATGTTTTGTATTTTGTTCATATATCATTCAAGCATTTTGCAAAGGTTTTAAATTTGCTAACTTTGAAGTCATTACTAAGTTTTTTCCTTGAAGAGGAATATAATTTGTTAACTTGCTTCTTGATTTACATAGTCTCCTTGAACTTCTGTCCGCCAAATCCATTGATATCCATAAATTACTGTTGACCTCTTTGTAATTATGTTTGACGTCATTAATTATGCTTAAATGATCGAGTGTCTGGTTCAAATTTAGTGCAACTCCACCAATTTAACCCCTTTAATGCGCAACTTTTTAGGCATATGAAACCCAAAACATATAGCAAATCATTAAGCGTCGATTTTGCTTAACATCTGGGAAACTCGAATAATTCCTCAGGGAGGCAGTCCTACTCCTATCAGTACACTTTTTTTGGTTCGATGTCGGGCAGTAAGATCGTAAAAACGATGCTCGTTAGGGGCAAAGTTTTATGCGTTTTATTACACGACCCAAGGAGGCATATAGCGACCTCAATGTCGCCTTTTTGAAACAGAATCAGAGTTGCCAAGTTGGCTATAATTTTTTATATAAATCTGGTATATATATATTTAAAATAAAGTTAAGAAAAAGAATAATAAAATTAGATTTTAAGCTTTGTACTTTTTTTAAAAGAGTTGTAAATTTTATTACTTATTCCAATCTTTTAAATTTTTTGTAAATTTTGTGTCAACACTATGAAGAAACCCCAAAGTCTCCCAACGCACGTAAAACCAAATCAGGCGAATGGACAAAACGTATAAGGAGCCAAAGCTAGTAGATTTTTATCCAGACCGAGCTGCATGATTGCATTTTATGTTTGTCTTAATTTTTTATGTCTACTTTGCGAGTGCGAGGCCATAAATAAGGCAACAATCAATTTTCATACGCACTCTTGTGCGACATCGCACGCAACTGGAGTCGTAAAAAAAAAGAGGCAAGGAAACCGAATTGTAATCGTATATTTTAACATAATATTATTGCACTCCCAGATGCGTACAAAACTGGCATTTGCCAGTTGGATCCGAGGCCCCCTTTCGATCCGAGGCCCACTCACTTAAACATCATTAAATATGAAAATTCATCTGCAATTTATCAATTATTTATTTATGGCAATGTTCCTTTTGCATTTTACGCATGTGTTAATGAATAATTTTCTCGTTTTCCCATTGCTTGGGCCTTTCCACGGCCCATGCCTCTTGTCCTGCTCCCTCTGTTAACCATTGTGCGTGTCTGAATGTAAGTATGCGTCCTGTCCGGTTCTGTTCAATCAATTCGAATTCGCTTTTGCATTTTTATTGCACTTTGCCGGTATATAAAAAATAAAAGAGCAATCATTGGCATAACGACTATGAGGTACTCAGTGTTTACATGGAAAGCTAAATATTTGTATACCAATAGGCATGTTTCTAATGGTGATCCCTAAAATAATCCCTACAAATGATTATAATATCATAAATTAGACTGCATATGTTAATGCTAATATAAAGCCAATGCTTTTGGCTAGCCTCTATTAGCATCTACTCTTAGTACTTACCGTGTTTAAAACCAAAAGAAATAATATATACCATTCAGATGAAAATCAGGCTGAGGTCGGTACGCCCAGGCCCCATTTCTCAAATGTCGCATATTAATGCGCATGAAATTTTCGTTGTTGTGAGTTATTTTTATTGCACAAAAGAGCAGCAAATTGCATGCGGGTGGATGTGTGAAGACAGCAGCTGCCAACGAGTGCAGTAAAACAAAACCAAACTGAACCATTGTTATATCACATTTCTCCCACCTCTCTATCGAGAGAGAGAGTCATTCAGTTTATCTGTGATCTGAGGATGGGTCGTCAACGCGGCATTTTTCAATCAAAATACACACAATTTGCAATTTAAATGTTGATTTCGTTAATGCGGCGAATAACTGAATGCAATGAACACGCATATGGGCCCTGCTTCGGGCTTTGGCACCGGCTTTGTTATTGAACTGAAATGAATAGTTTATGTAGAGTCCGCACTTGTGGGTCCTGGGTGGGTGAGTTTTGGATGGTTTTACGGGTTGGCGGGCGGTAGTTTGAGTTTCAGCACGGATAAGTGCCGCGAAATTCCCTGCCTGGCTGCGTTTTATAACGAAGATGAATTGTAAATTGCATAGCAAATGAAATCAATTTTAATGGACATTGCTTATGTATTCGACAAATGCTTATTAAGCATTCATTATAAACGAACCGCACTTTTATGTGTGTGCACTGGCGGCCGAGCCATAAATTGTGAGAAAAGTATGGCCAGTTAAGCGGCTTATCAATGTTTGCAGATGCGCTGGCCATGGTAATTGAGTGCTCTTAAATCCGTTTCAAATCCATGTCAACTTATAATGAATTAAACCAGGCCATGATTAAGTTTTTCTTTTGCTTATCAAAAAGGTGAATTTCTCTGAATCAAAAGATTATTAAAACTAAGACAATATTAGTTTAAAATAGTAAGGATAAATCTATATCGTTTCCTATACTGTGGACTAATCAAGCAACCCTCTGGCATAGAGTGCTCCACCCTTCCGCAATTATTAGTCAGCCAGACCCTTTCGCTGTTCCATCAGCCATCACAGACCATTTGACAACTTGCTCAACACTTTCCGTCGCAACTACGCAACTTGACGCGTGGGCAACTGAGTGGGTGACGAGGACGGTGACGGGCTGAGTGAATGAGTGGTGCAGTGAGTGGTTGAGTGGTGCAGTTGGCTAGGCCATGGCCATGTCTTCTCTTCCTCACCGTCGTCATAGTCGTCGTCAGCCATCAGCCAGTCAGGCAGCAAATGAGCAAAGGGAAAATTACATTTGGGACGCCGGCGTGTCGCCTCCATTGGCATGCAGCGCCAATGCACAAGTTTTTTTCCGCTCTCCCACTGCCAGCCATCGAGTGCAAATTAAACCGAGCAGCGCACGAGGTTAATTTCACATGCATTTCACTGGCAATCAGTGCGTGCTCCACTCAACGGGTAATGCTGCACAGAGAGAAAGTACTGTAGTACTTGTCTGTACTGTTAAATAATATAGAAAAATCTTGTTAAAATTGGTCACCATTGGGAATCACTCATTTTTGTAACTTTAAATCATCTTTGTAATGATAGTTTCATGTACTCTGATTTAAAACTAACTCATTTCTCTGCGTGTACAGAGAACTGGTACTGGTGGTGCCAACCCCGGGTGGCGATGGTGGTGCTGCTGGTGGCACTTAGCCCAAGCTACTTACACTGCGCTTTGACTGCCTGATGACTGGCGAAGCGGTGAGGGAAGGGTTTATGCCCTAATCCGAAACTCATTTCCCTCCCCACGAAACGGAAACGAAACTCTATCGTAGGGATTGGGACAGGAGCAGGGGCAGAGTGAGTGGGACTGTGGAGACCCAGTCGAAAGTGCAGTCCGCCCGAAGTTTCTTCTTGGCCCGTGGTTGAGATAATTGCGTGTAACAGGTGTGAAAGACGGAATTTACAATGGAGATAGTGCTCGAGAGAGCTTGAGAGGTTTCCAGCAGCTACACAAATTAACTTCAAGTTGTCGCATTTCTTTGGGGAAATGCACAGAGAGAAAAAGATCATTAGAAGTTAAGAATCAAACTGCAGATGAAGCTTGATATCCCTTTATATTTGTATAGATTGATGTATAAGTTATCTCGGGCTATTCATTTAGTAAACAACCACAGATTTCTTAATTAGAAACTCCTTTTTAACACGCTATTAATGAACTGAAAACCATTACTTTTCAGTGGAGATGGAGAGGGCATAAAAGCCATCAGCCCCATCAGAAGAGACCGCAAGTTTTCGAGGACAATCTTAATGGAAATTATTATTCATGCACATTACGCGACAAACGCTATCTGGACTCGCCCAGGATTCGTTCATCTACATATCTACAATTCATTTGCAGCAGCACCTCGAGGGCCGCAAATTCCGTTTGTGTCATGAGTTTTGCCTTTTAATTAACACCGCCCATACAACAACAATATTCCGGACCAAAGTCGGAACTCAAAA